AATTATATATATATATAATTTCCATTTTTTCCTGATGGTTGCCATTATTTTAACTTATATCCTGATTGTTTGTATTTTTCTAACAACATCTAGAATTAATCATTACTGTATCTTCTGTCTGAATAACATGAAAAGTTTAGTGTACTTCTGCTGTTCCATAGCCTCACCATGAACTTCTGGTTTAAAATGTTAATTTCTCTGTTCGTTATTGCTTCTTGAATGTCTTATTCTATTCTCCTGGTTTTTAAAAAATTATTCCTAGAACATCTCCTCTAATCGTTTTTCAGGTTGGTCACCAAAGCCCTTTCCCTCACCTCTACTCAGATGACCTTGCTTCCTAAATCAGGTCAGGGAATCTCTTTACCTATAAACTCATTTAATTACTCACTTGGTTTTACTTCTATTTTTCCAGTCTCAGAGAATGCAGTGTCCATTATCCTGTCTAGTGTTTATCCATTGACCTGTGTTCTGGATCTTCTTTCAACTAACTCTTGAACTCTTGTTTTGTTTTGTTTTGTTTTTTGGTGTTCCCATTTAATTATGCTATGTATTAGTCTCCCTAGTTCCTTTATCATAGCTGATAAATCCCTCTCTCTATTTCCTTTAACTCTTTTTCAATGCCATAGTCCCTTCTAACGAATACTCCGTATCTCTTCTTCTTGTCATGATAAAGCCTTTTGAAGGAATGAATAGTTTATATTTATTGATTTTTGTTTGCCTTCTGTTCACTTCTCAATACATTGCATTGTGGGCTCTGCTCCCCACCACTTCACTAAAAGTAATTTCTTATATGGTCCAGTGACTGTCCTACAGTTGACTCTAAAAAAGACAATGTATTAGTTAGCTATTGCTGTATAACAAACCACTCTAAAATTTAGTGGCTTAAAACAAATTATTGTTTCTGTGGAATCTACAGGTTGCCTAAGTGGTTCTTTTGATTTGCCTTGGGTTCTGCTGATCTTATCTGGTCTTGTTCATGTCTGCTATTAGCTGACAGGTTGGCTAGAGGCTGGGTAAGCTAGCTTGGCCTCATTTGGGAGGACTCAGCTCTGCTTCATCTTCTATCAGGATATACCATGAGGCTGCTTTACATGGTAATTAATATCAGAGTTCCATAAAAAGAAATGGAGCACGCAAGGCCTCTTGAGGCTTAGGCTTAAAAATGACAGTTACTTTTTACGACAGTTAGGCATAGCAAGACAAAAGTCCAGTCCACTTTCAAGGGATGGAAATTTGTTTCATATTCTTCTTCACACAACTTCTTAAATGTTCATATTCCTAGGGATTCTTATTTCTTACCCTTTCCATTTTGCCCCACCAACCTCATCTCTCTTTGTAGGATGAATTATGTACTCTATGTTGGTGAGAATCAAATGAGCAATCAGCAAACTATGGCAGGCCAGCCTGTGGCCTATTTCTGTATGGCCCACTAGCTTAGAATGGTTTTTACGTTTTTAAAGGGTTATTTAAACAAACACTGTTATCGACAACAACAAACGGAGGAATATGCAGCAGAGACTGTAGGTTATTTGGCCCTTTACAAAAAAATTTTCACCTTTTCTCATGGAAATCAATATTTCAATACTGATCTTTCCTAGGCTTTAGCTTCTACCTACACATGTACAGGATATTTGTGCCTGAATATTTTGTAGGTACCTTAAACTTCATATGTACAGAATGGACCTCAGTATCTTCACTTTAAAACTTTCTTATTTCACCCACATTCTACATGTTCTGGCCCATGCCAGAAACCTGACACTCTGAACACATACCAGTCCTATTGTTTCTGCTTTCTTAGTCACACGTCAGTCTATTTCTTCATTTCTTATACCCTCAGTTAATTTAGGCCCTCAGTTCAGTATCACCCCTTATTAATTCCACCTCCACAATGATTCTTTTATGATCTAATCATCTTATTCCCATACTTGAAATTTATTTGATGTATTCGGACAGAGAAATGACTATTAAATTGTAGAGAGCCATTTTGGCTTGGTTATGTGGTATAGGCTGAAGCTAGAAAGCAGAGGATTAAGGAGCAAGTAGATAATGAGAAAGCAGCAGCAGTAAGTTCAGATTCTTTTGAGAGAGGAGAGGAATGGAATTGTGTATCTGAGTATTTTTACAAAGTACATTCTTATTACAGTCAACTGAATAGTTTAAAATATTTATGTGAACATTGGGCTATAAGAAAATTTAAAAGGTTTAGGCACAAAGATTTGTTTATAAAAGATTTAAAAACTCTGGTGGGGCCGGGTGCGGTGGCTCGCAATAAACCCATTCCTGATTTTGAAGCAAAGCCTTCTCCTTAGCCCATCCTTCCTCAACTTTGCCCACACGAAAAGCATCCAGTCAGAATTCTCACTCAAGGGAGAGACTTAGTGGTAAATAGGTCTACTCAGCAGGAGGAATACTTGCTGTTCAGTGGAGGAAACCCACACTAGCAACCCAGAACTTCACTCTGAAACACGGATAAATAAATAATGATTGATTAATACAGTGGGATGTCATACAGAAGTACAAATAGATGATACAGAGCTATACTCAACAACATGGTTGAATCTTACTAAATTTTGAGCTTGACATGAGAGGATGATTATATTTAATTAGTATATTAAATATACCAATGGCAAAACAAACCATAGTTGGGAGAGAGTATCAGACGATAAATGTATAAAAAAATCAAATAAATGATTATTTCAAAAGTTATGATAATGTTTACCTTTTAGAGAGGTCAGCATTATGATTAGGAGGGGATACATGGAAGGTTTTGGGGGGTATTGGCATTGTTTTGAGTGCAGGTTATACCAATGTTCTCTATAATAAGGAGAACATTTATGTTTTATATGCCTTTCTATATGCATGTTCAATTTCACAGTGAAAAGTACTTAAAAGTCAAAAAAGGGATCCCAGAGGAGACTGAGACAGTTCTATAAATAAACATTTTAAATTCTTGATTTTATTCCACGAACTCTGAGAATATGTTCTGTTCATAAAATAAGAATAGGATGCTGTGAAAAAGAAGCAATTTAGAGAATAAGAAAGAGCTCAGATTAAAAGCATGATTGCTGACATTTGCTGACATTAAAACTTCAGTGAAAGGACTAAAGATAAAATTGATTGAAAAAAACTTCTCAGAGGAAGAAGACTAAGAGACTAAAATTTGAGAAAAGAATAATAGAGAATCAATCCAGGAGGTCCAATTTTTAATTAATGACAGTTTCAGAAGAAAGAAATGAGAAAGTGGA